GTGTGGAGGTCAGCGCCGGTATGAGGGAGGTTTGTGTCGTACCAGGTGGTCGAGATGTGACGCTAGATACCGCACACACAGTGACAGCTCGCGGTGGGCTCGGTACCGTTGATGCAGCTAGTATTTCTCCACATGTTGCCGCTGGCTGGAGAGCTTCTTGCAACATGGGAGAGGAATTTGAAGTCATATCAGCGACGGACTGAGGCACAAGTTGATGCTGATCGCCAATAGTGGATACAGCATAAGTCCCGCCGGCAGGATCAATCATTTCGGTACCATCGGCGTTGACTGCAGATGATCCTTTCTCTTTCTTCTTTGCTTCCTTAATATAAAGCCATTTTGCAATTTGAAATTGAAAGTTAAAGAAGAACTTTCGAAGTAATCGCTTACCTTCATGCCGTTCATAATCAAGTGTGTGCTGCAAAAATTCTCTTCCTTATCCTTTCTGATGGCATTTGTACACCGAGTAGCAAGGTCCTTCTTGCCTACAAAACTTGGGTGAAGAAAAGTAGGATAATTAAACGTCGGTGTGGGTCACGACAATCGTAAACCGCCATGCTAGCGAGCGTGGCGTGCAATTACGCGCGCATAAAGGCTGAGCCCGCATTCAAATTTGATGAGTTATGCGGCTCAAATACTTATAACAAGGTAGCAAGTAACCCCTTAGTGAAGAAAAATCAGAAAGAAATCATAGGAAAGGCTCTATATAGAACCCTTGCTTAATTGAGGTTGTACGTGCTCAAGGCGAAGAGAAGGTGCGGTTGCACGAGTTCTCACTTGTTGATATCAGCTGTTTTCCCTTATCACCTCACTCTCACCACTCGACGTGGAGAGAAGCAGCAGCGAAACAACCGCACCATCAGATAACCATTAGGAATGAGTGGAGGGCGGTGCCAATGATTGTAGGTTGGGCCAATGAGAAGAACGACGGCATCGTGGGCCTCCTCACTCGTTTTTGCGCCGCGAAAGTGGTGTAGTTGTTGCCTCTGCGGACCTGACTACCTGCTCACGAAGGGAGAGGAAAATCTCAACTGAACGCGGACGCTGCCTTTAAGCGTGCAATGGGGAAACACAGTAATCGATGACTTCTCCAATACTGTTATCAGATCTTTTGCCCCAAGCACAGCACAAACAAAACTTTAGGCATGTACACTTTACATCACCGCAATTGTCGGGTCGCAATCAGCGGCTCGCACCTGCGGCGTTTCCATCATTGGTTGCTCCCTCCCTTAATCGATCTTTTACCTCGATCGCCAGTGGTAGAGCAACGAGGCCGAACGCCCATATTGATCCGAGCGTTGGGCCCAGCCTTGAGATGCCTCCGACAGTCCGCAATGATGAGGACTGTAAATTCACAAATGTTCCTTCTGCACCTCTCGTCGCCTAAGGCGCTATGTAGCTCAGGAGGGAGCAGCCACAACGAGATTTCCCACGCCATGCTGCCACAGCGAGATCGCTCCGTAAGAACATTTTCTAATGAGACAGTGTTCAGACTTCGCGATAACCTGCGTCTACACGCTATAACGCGCGTCGATTCGCTATAGTTGCAACAGTGCTCCAGACCTATAAACGAGCCCGCAACCGCAGACGGGAAAGGATTGGCGCCGGCAGCTGGTGTTTTAGGAGGGCAGGCGTTGCTCACGCAATCTGATACTGACCCAAAGCCCTGCACTTTTATACTAGAATGTGAGATTGGGCAACGCGTACCCTCCTATCACCATACTCTCTCAATACACAAGCGGCTGGCGCTGATCGATTTTCGTATGCTGTCACATTCGCCTCCCTAGCATTGGAGCGCCGTTGCAATTGTGGCGCGTCGACGCGTATCATCGCGAAGTTTGAACGCTGCTCAATCAATAAGCCGCATTAGAACACAGCACGTTGTGTCAGTGAGTTGGAGACGAGCCTCTGCGCGGTTTCGCCCTGCTAAAGAATGGCACCCTCTGAGGCCATAACCTCTCGCACGGTTCGCCGCACGAGGGGTTATGGATAATTGCTCTGACTGCTTTTCGTAGATGCCATGCCACGTCAAGAAAGATGACATCAAAAATACAAATGATGCAAGTCGTTTAGTTCCAACACTCACTTTTTGGTTTTCGGTGATGTTCACATTGCTTGTACGGAGCTGCTGGGATCCAAAAGTATATGTCGTATACAGAACTTGTATCCAAGGATAGCTCTTTGCTTGCACTGAAAAAGCACCTTCACCTGTTTCGTCGGTCTTTTAATTATTTTACAGCAATGGAAAATCTCATGAAAATAGTGTTATACCGTAGCAAATCTGAGTAAACATAGTATTATCTCTGGGCCTGCTAAATGTTCAAGAATGGTGGGAGACTCCAAGCACTATTTTTCGAAACCCCTGCGCCTTCTGGAATAGACTTTGGGATCCCTTATTATTGCTGGACTCAAAAGTTCTCAATGGTTCTAGACGGTAATGAAGTTT